GAGAAAGTGCGTCGCACGTGTTTCATACGAATCCCGTTCGTAATGTACCCACTTCTCTGTTTACCAGCACGAGTAGAATTTTGCTACAAACTCGGTGTGCGACATGTGCGTAGAGTTTCCCAAAATTAACTAGAAGGCACTGCGGCACTGCGATCGTTCAGCGACCATGGGAATGATGGGTAGTAGTACACACATTTGCCTAGTCTTCGTACTTGCGAATGGCGAATCGTACTTGCGGCTTCGTTTAATGCCGGTTACGGTTTTGTTTTGAAGGAAAGAACTAACCCTTTTGAACTTGGTGACTCCATTCAAAATGATAAGCGTGAAAGAACAAGGTTGTGAAGCGCAAACGCTAAACATTTACTAATTTATTTGTTGTGAAAAAAGCAGCCCTAAGCCACATGAACACACACAGAGCTAGAAGCAGGTCAGAAGTACAAAAATTAGACAAATGTGTGTACTACCCATCATTCCCATGCTCACTGAAGCGCCGTGCGTTGCAGCTCCCACAGATACTAGCGCCAGAGTTCCCTCTAGTGTATATTAGAAACTCTATGATGTACGGTATACTTTTTGCTATGCGTTACCCACTTTATGCTTGTTACGGCAGCCGAGATACGCGTAGTCAACAGCGAGTTACGTCAGGTTGTTTCTCCCATCCGACGTCGTCACTTAGTGAAGCAACGCCGACGCTACAGTGGCTAGAATGGGGAGGTTTGATGAACGCGCTGGCTAGCGCATAGCGCCTTGAGAGGAAGCCGCCAGGTGGCGCTGGTACACGTTTGCAAATCAGGGAGTACAAGGTGATATGGGATGGACATCATTTGAGGGCAGGGAAGCTAGCAGTAAGATAAAATTTGAGAAGCGATTGAGAGAAATGGGGGAGGAGCGTTGGGCTAGGAAGATGGAAGCGAACTAGGAAATTGACTGGTAAATACTTAGAAAACAGCAGGTGGCCAAATCAAAAAGAACTATCGGTTAAGAAGAAAGTGAAGGAAACGGAGACTGACATGTGGAGAATGGGCATGATTAAGAAGTCCGCACTAGAGATCTATCGAACTTTTAAGCAGGAGATTGCCAAGGAAAGAATCTACGATAATACTCGGGGTAGTTCTCGACTGTTTGAGGCCAGGACGGGAGTACTGCGAACCAAGACATATCGGGCCAAATACGAAGGGGTAGACACAGTATGCAGTGCGTGTGGAGAGGAAGGAGAAACTGCCGAACACTTGATAATGTTCTGTAAAGGGCTTCACCCTATAGTTCAGGATGATGGCGCAGAGTTTTTCAAAGCACTGGGGTTTAGGGACCAGGAGGGCAAAATAGACTTTAAGCAAGTAGACTTAACTAGAAGGAGGTTATCTGATTGGTGGCTAAAGTCAAAGCACGAGTGAAAATTAAACTCTTCACTGCAAAGTACGAATCCTCAAACTCATTATGTAAAGGAAAAAAAAAGATAATTGTAATGGTTAGTTCACTAAGTATTACGGCTAGGTGGCGTTAGCCGCCGCCCGATCTAAAGGGTACAGCCACATCCATCCATCCATCCATCCATCCATCCATCCGTCCGTCCGTCCGTCCGTCCGTCCGTCCGTCCGTCCATCCGTCCATCCGTCCATCCATCCATCCATCCATCCATCCATCCATCCATCCATCCATCCATCCATCCATCCATCCATCCATCCATCCATCCATCCATCCATCCATCCATCCATCCATCCATCCATCCATCCATCCATCCATCCATCCATCCATCCATCCATACGTCACCAAAGGCGGTGAAGCGCTGAGCAAAGACGGGAATCAACCACGCGCGCTGGCAATGTGAAGCATTTAAAATATATATTTTTGGCTCGTGCATGGCGTCAAATGGCGACCGAGAAAATATGTTGATTACCTTCTGGAATTACAGGAGGCTTCTGGAATTAGCTTCGGGAATTAACTGAATTAGCTTCTGAAATTACAGTTCAGCCGCGGGTGCGCGACTGAACTGAAATATTTGACTGGGCCTAAAATGAGCGCGTGACGGTACTGAAACATTTTATTGATGTGAAGTGGTGGAAGGGTGGTACGATGAACACAGTTATGAGCCATTGCTTGCAACACTTTTCACGCCGAACCATCATTTCCTCAAGCACTAATCTGTAAATAAAGCCCCATCATTCGTAACTTCAAACTCAGAAACGAGAATCACGAGTGGTATCTGTATGAAAACCATTTATTTTTTGCATGTGTTTACAACAATGCATTCTTAATCATTAGTCGCAAGTCTCTTTTTTTATCTCCAAGAAAAAAAAAACTCCAGGCCTGCGTGGAAGGTGCAGCACAGTCAAAGCGAAAGCTAGAAGAGTGACTTTTCAGAGCCTCTTCTAAACACTCACAGGTAACTGCTGCAAGCACACTTGCTTGGTATCCACTACGGCAAAAGCTTTTGGGTAGTAGGCCAGCATTGGCCCTGCTATTTTTTGTAATTCTACTGAGATGCCTGGAATCCGCTAGACACTTGCAAATAATTCTGTGCCAATTGTTCCTGCAGTGGCTGATGACGATGAGGAATTATGCCCGAAGTGTGTATGCGCCACAGTTAATAACTGAACAAAAACAAGCTTTTGTAATGAGTTGGAGCATCGGACGACCCACTAGTTACGCTATTCGCATTGTGCGACGACTGCTTTGATCGCCACTCGTGGGAGGCGGTCAGTGTATGTTTCGTACGCGCGTGACCATACGCGTTGTGGCCCGAGAGGGATCCGTCGCCGCGACATACAGGCCCTGGAACGCGGTGCACATTGGTCGGACAAGGTAACACGCATTGTCTTGAATAACGAAGTGGACGGTGTCTCGTATACCGAACCAGTTTGCCAGCACCAAACGCTGTAAGGCTTCAATGATGGTGAGTGACGCGAAGACCGCCGTAACCTGGTACGTCCGACAATCACGTCCCGCATGACGCTCAGTTGGGTTCTGGCAGTCATACCAGAAGTCTTGGAAACCAGAAGTCGGCACTGCGCAGGTGTTATGCAACCCTTTTAGAGGGAAGCACGCTTGCCGAGTTGTACCCATTTGTTGAGTGCACCGCAACGTGTTCCCAGTGTTTGAATCCTAATCTATAACTTTTAAGTATTTCTGTTCTTATGGCTTTTGAAAGAATACCTCTCAAAAGCTGCACGGGAAATATGCACGGCCATTGAGGGGCCCCACGTGTAGGAAAATCAAAGAAACAGCTGTAATCCCTTACATATCGTCGTGGCTGAAAGTAGTCTAGTCAAATATTCATAATACTGACTAAGCCTCTTTTCCTTAAGAAACAGGTGTGAACGTAGACCTCACTCACCGTCGAGTTTATGATCTTACGACGCGTTTACCTCCTTGGTCAGTACTTTTTTGATTGAAAACTAACTGGAAAACGATTGAGGGTTTATGTCGTTATTATGTAGCGATTGGCGCAGTTTCAAATCCCGCGAATAAGTGCAGCTAAACTAATCCAAAACCCGTGTAAGTGCGTAGCACGGACATCCAAGCCATTGAGGCTCGTAGTGTTCCCACAGCTTCGTTGGACACAGCGTCGACTGCTCTGCTGTTTCAGGTAAGCTTGTAGGTTTTCCCGGGAATGAGTATAGAATACTATCAGGGAGATTTGCAAGCTCGGTGTGATCGCTCGCTGGATTTCGTGCCGACCGGTTGTGCCCTCGCGATCTCCGACGACAGTGCAGCTCTGGCCGACTAGGCTGGTCCTACGCCACCTCCTGACGCCGGTCCCCGACGACGACGACAGCGTAGCTGTGGCCGACTGGATTAGTACTGTACCATCTCTTGTTGCCGACAAGAGCTTTCGTCAGTGGTGCCCCGTCCTCGGACTCGTGGGACCATGTTCATCTTTCCTATCTTCTCTTTACTTCCGTCGCTCCCTGTCCGTGCGCCTATCTCTATATATATGTATACCTTTTAATCCCATCCTTTTTTATCCCTCCTTACCGCGATCCCTTGTGAACTACTGCTGAGGTGTCTCGCCAGATGCATACAGTTACGGGACTCACTTTTCTCTTCTTTTCCCTCTTATAACCACATAAGTGAGGCATGCGCGTTACTTTTTGAAGGCGCTTTTTCGAATTAGTGCTTGTCACGGCAGTTGAGATACGTGCAGTCTGCAGCGAGTTCTGTCTGTCTGTTCCCTTTTTAGGTGTAGTGACAAAAGCACCAGGCAACTGCTGGTTGGAGGAGCGATCGCACCTTTGGCATGGCGGTGCCGCTGTCTCATGCGCGTCATGGGTATCAGTCGATTTTTTCTAAAGCGTTTTTAGCGGCTTCAAGTTAACTATTGTGATCACGTGTTGGTTACTTCATGTGTTAGCTTGTTTGTTTATACAAACCCGGCTTTGCGCTTTGCTTGCCTCATTTAATATTCAGCCTGTATTCACCACTCGATTTTGAGCGTGATTACGCAGGAAAACGGGATGCCAGCGAATGTAAATAATTATTTACAGAAGAAGGCGTTACACACGGACGAACGCTGCACTTTCAACTGGGCTTTACTGGAAGCTCGTGCGGCAATGTAATTTCCTGTAAAGCACAGTTGGAAGACGAGTGTTCATTCGTATGTGTAGCACCTTCTTCTTGTCTAGGTGTTTAGTCTATTCGGTGGCACCTTCTATTCAAGTTCTTGTAATACACATATCTATGCTATATGGTTTACCCTATACTTTTCCCCACTTCCGTTTCCTATTCCCTTGCTATACTTTACCCGCTGACTCATGAGGCTTGCCGCTTGCTATACTATATATGCTATACTATACCATACTGTAGCGTTGCGATACTATACTAGCCCTCCTCGCCCTCTTCCTCCTCAGTTTCCTTTCCCAATGCTTTATCATCTCTCTCCTCCTTCGGTCCCTCTGCATTTCACTTCACTTTCCCATTCAATTATAAGTACGTTTATAGGCTAGCGAGAAATCTAATGGCACACGCGTATGTTTCTAAACGGCGCATCTCATAGACCACACCTGCTTGATCACCTTGACTACGTCCTGCGGTGTCGATGCTCGGGCAACGTCCTTGCGCTTCCGCGCGTAGAAGTGGAGCGTGCTCCACGGACCCCGGGCTTCTCGAAATTCGGCAGGGCTCGCGCTCAGGGGCGTAGTCGGTGCCGGGTCACCCTCGCGCGTCGACGCCGGCAGCGCCGGTCCGGAACCAGAACCACCAGCAGGAGTAGTCCGTAGACCTCGGCGTGTCTGTGTCCGCGGATAGCCATGCCTGTAAAGCAGAAAAAAAAAGGGGGGGGGGGTAGCTTATGAATACCGGAATTTGATTGATATGTGGGGTTTAACGTCCCAAAACCACCATATGATTATGAGAGACGCCGTAGTGAAGGGCTCCGGAAATTTAGACCACCTGGGGTTCTTTAACGTGCACCCAAATCTGAGCACACGGGCCTACAACATTTCCGCCTCCATCGGAAATGCAGCCGCCACAGCCGGGATTTGAACCCACGACCTGCGGGTCAGCAGCTGAGTACCTTAGCCACTAGACCACCGTGGCGGGGCAATACCGGAATTTGTAACAGCAAAAATTCCAAGCGCGCTCCAAAATTCAGTCAACCGGACCATCGAATGCCAGATACGTGGCGTGAGCGATACTTCGAATTACCATCACCCCCATCACCATCATCGTCGTCGCAGACTGCAAGGCGAAACCTTTTCATCCTGCGTCATTAGCTCGCCCGTGTATTCACGTTACTAAGTGTCTCCCATGTCTTGCCAAAGAACTCGGTCCTGAGGTTGTTGCTGGCAGGTTATGGCCGCAGTGCCAATCTCGTCGGCTCGCCTATAACATCTAGCTTCCTCTTCAGCCGCTTGCCGTCTCTTGGAATCAAGGCCCCCGGGCACCTTCCCTCCTCAAACCACACCCTCTCCTTGCGCCCCCTCCTCTCCCCAGTTTGCCAACGTGATGTAGGTTAGGGTGGGGTATAATGCAAGAAAATATTTCCAATAGTGAGCATTTATTTTTATTTCACTACTTGCAATCAAACATAAATGCGGATACCATGGCCGTCCAGTGGCCGTAGAGAAAAAAGTTTCGAAACTTTTTTTTGGGTACAAGGTATGTGCTACATAAACATTGACATGTTGCCACTGTTCAAAACATTATTTTAAAAATAAATAAGAAATGCTCAAAATGTCTCATTTTTCGCCAACGTGCGGAAAAAACGAGACGGTGCGAAAAAAATCCATTCCTCCAGTTTTTGCAGTAGAAAGACTTGAAGGCTACTCTGTGGGCCCTTACGCAGTCATAAGAAGCCCAGTTCTTGGACTATACACATTGAACCTATAGACAGAACGTGGCGTTGTGTGGCTCCCAAACTCCTTGCAGATCAAACAAAGCCAGCCTTTCTTCGTGCTAATGTGATCTTTTGTTGAACACTTGCACCTCAATGGATTATTCAACAACTGCGGGCTAGATACGCTTTGACGCATCTCCTTCGCCTCTTTTTGGCGTTTTGATGCAGAACTGCTCAGGCGTTTCATGGTTTTTAACTTCGTCCGTCGGGCTTTGCGAGACAATAAATCTAAAGCTGTGATAGATTCAGATTTTCTAGCGCTTCTTTTTTTTATTTTTCAATCAGGGTATTGAAGAAACGTTATTAAAACTAAATCCCAAGACGTTTTGTGAACGAATTGATTTCGAGATTCCGCCATTTTTAAGCGTCTCTTGAAGGCATCCATGGTAACACGAAAAAAAATCTCGATGCAGCCACGTGGTTTCACGTGCGTTACCGTAAGCTACGGCAGCTTGATTTATATGTGGGGTTTTAACGTCCTAAAACCCCCATATGATTATGGGAGACGCCATAGAGTAGAGAGTCCCGGAAATCTCGATCACCTGGAATTCTTCAACGTGACCCAAATCTGAGCACACGGGCCTACAGCGTTTCCGCCTCCATCGGAAATGCAGCCGCCGCAGACGGGATTCGACCCCGCGACCTGCGGGTCAGCAGCCGAGTACTTTAGCCATTAGAAAACCGTGGCGGGGCGGAGCTACGGCAGCACACCACGATAACAGCACACAACGGCATGAGCCGTCTGAGTGCACCGCACATGGCAATAGAGAGTTTTAGTACTGCGTACGCTGCGTACGTGGCGGCGTTGCGTACGTAACGACGCCACGTTCTGCGTAGTTCGCATGCGCAGACCGCAACGCGCACGTATCGCGTTACGTACGCAGCCGCTACGCACGCACGCATGAGATGCGTGCGTGCGTACGTATGAGGTGATCGCGCCGCTCTCGAACAGGTTCGCGACAGCGCGAGACTTCGTTTTGCGAAATGGTCGCATCGAAGGCAAGCACCGACTGGCTCTGTGGCTTAAAATATGGCCATAATCTGGCTATAACACTTGGATTGGCTCACATTGGCTGTCAACAACACGTGCTTCTATTTTGATCTACGAGATGGCGCAACACGCTTCACGCTCGTTACGTACGCGGATACTACGGCGTACTAAAAGCCGATTAGTGGCAAACGATGCCACGTAACGCAAGGCACTTGCGTGATGCGTACGTAGCACCATTCCGCAGTACTAAAACTCTCTAATGTTAAATACCCCCCAATTGCACCAGCGTTCAGTGATCTATCGCCTCCGCATTGAATCACCGATAAGGGAAGCTCCTTATTACAGTCTCTGTCCAGTTTTTGTTTTTTTTACGCGTTGCCTACACCAATCTTGACCGCAAAAAGGTCAGGCCACGCAACCGGCTGCCTCGCCGACAGGGGCCACTCGGTCGGGGGAGTCTGCTAGGCGCGCTCTCATATGCGTCCGGCGGAGCGCAGCAGAGGCGCGCTTTATCCGTCCGTGCACAACCACTGAACCGCGCGGTATTCGATTGCGGGAGGCGAGCTCGGGGAATAACCGTTTCAGTATTAAAAAAAAAAAATCCCAGAATTCACTTCCGCTCTTTGCGTGCGTGTGGTCGGCGGTTGGAGAGCGCGCCTCCCCGTGGAAAGTATTCGCATGAGGACTTGTTTTGTTTTCTTGCCTGCCTCATAACCACAAGAGGAATCGGCCTTGCCATCAAACAAACGCAAACGCTATGATTAAAAAGATTAAAAAAGGAAGGTGAATGAAACGCCATAAAATAAGTAAATAGGTAAAATAATTGGAAAAGTCGTAAGAAAATAAGTGATAAGAAAGATAACTTTTTCTGGCGGTCAGTAGTCTTCCAGCGGTCAGGTCAGTGTAAAGTGCCTAAGTTGAGATAAGGCACTTTACAGCAACTGGCACATAGCAGTGTTCTAGTCTCAGGGCAAATTTTGGGATGAGGTGGTAAACTTGGTCCACATGGTGTGGTCATGTTCGAGTCGGGACGATGGTTCACGCACTTTAGAATCCAGGGAGGCCCTCTTCCGCAGCCCGGACTTTTGTAGTCCATCAAGACATCATCAATAAAGTGCAGAATTTTGTCAGCCTATCAACACTGTCCTTAAAGCCAAAGTATTTAGGGACGGTTTACTGGTGTCTCGTAGTGAAGTACATACGGTATTCCAAATCATCGATATTTTTTTCAATCACATAGTCCTTGTGTCCTTGCAGCTGCCGTGTCTCAAGAGATTTAGGCTCGAGATTCAGGTCTCAAGAGATTCAAGTCTCAAGAGATTCAGGTCTCAAGAGATTCAGGCCATTCAGAATGGATAGGAGCGACAGGCCATGCCTGACTTTATTTACAGACCTTTTTTTAAAATAAACTTTTATCTTTCTCTTTTCAGTTGCCGGTAGCATCAGCAGCGTAACATTCCGGTCGCTTCAATGAATCCGCGTAACGCACTAATAAAAAGCGTAACCACTTGCCCCAAACTGATTGGCTACAAACGACAACAGGTTAGCAGTAGTTAATGGCAAACCATCCTCCTTGGGTAAACCTGGCCTAACAGTTGAGCGAGAAGAATGAAATATGAGATAGAGGGAGACGAAGGAATATCCAGTTTTTCACTGTCATTCTCTCTCTGTCTTTATAACTTTGTGGATTTTTTGCGAGCCTGTACGACACACTGTTTGCACGGAATTTAGGTTTTCAAAGGTGCAAACACTTTTTCTCTCACGAAAAAATATTGAACCTCTATTTGGCGTTTGGCCCCAATATGTACCCGGTTCTTTACGTGGTCTGTACGTTTACAACTCGGTTTATCGACGCCGACAAAAATCCCACCGACGGTTTGGAGACGACAGGGCTGTAACAGCAACAGCTAAGACGCATCACAAGCTCGACGAAAGTCCTCTTCTTCACCTTCATTTTTTTCAGTCAACTGCGTCGATTATTCGCATTCCATTGGATCGATCGAATTCACACTGATGCTGCTCACTGCGTCACACGATTTCGTGTCACGGCGTGACTAAGACGTACGCTAGATTGCATTGACACGTAACTAAGACATCGGCTTCTCTATACTGACACCGAGAGTGGTTTTATTTCAAATCACTGATATTAAAAATGTATGCGCAGTTTCACACGAAGCAAGAAGTAAGTTATCTCTTTCTATCCTGCTCTCTCTCTTCGTCTTTTATTCCGTTTTCCTTTTTCCCCCTGTTTATTCTTTCTCATTCCCATTTTTTACTATATATGCTCCTTCTCGCTCTTTATATCAATTCATCGGTGTTTTCCTTTTTTTTCAATTTTGTTCATAGTTTTACCTAAATTGCTACGCATTGATATCATGGTGAATACGCTCGAATAATAAAAGGAAAAGAACTTCTCATTGGCGCTAGCACGGCCGATATGCAACATTTGTTTACATAGGCAAAGCACCATCCGCCTTACGGCCTATCCCCCAGAGTAAGTTGCGCTAAGCTGTTGAGGAACCAACCAACCAACCAGCCAGCTGGCTACCTATATACGTGTTTTTTGCGTGCGTTACGGCAGACGACGATGACAGCATACGACAGGCCGACCCCCTGAGGTGATCCGCACTTAAAAAGAACAACAACAACAACAAAAAAAAAACCGCCGGAACGCTTAAATTTCGAGTTAAAGGCGACAGCGACATCCGGCTCCTGACAAAGTACATTGCGCTCTCTTACCCTTCCGAGGCACCCCATCACCCCGTTTAGGTTTCTCTACAGCAGCGTTTTTAGTGAGAGCGGCAATGCGAAAGTTTCAACAACAACAACAACAACAGCAACAACAAATATTGTGTCAACTCTTTCACAGAACCGCAGATGGTGCAAATTAATACGATGTCAGCTACTATACGGCGTTCCCGTTGA